TGGCAGCCACATTCTAGGTGCTTTTAGGCAGAGGTTTTCTGCCTTCCCTCCAGTAATAACAGATCTTTTTTTGTCAAGAATGTAGGATGCTAGGTTTTAGTAAGAGTTTTGCTACTACCTCCAGCTCAGCAAAAATGAATCTCTGGCTGTGTCCTCAGAATGAGAGGTTTTCCTAACCCTTTACCTGAAGCAGACAGATTTTACTTCTACTCCTATACTAGAAGCAATGTATCTCCACCCATGCTCTGGGAGTAAGAGAGTTTATTTCCCTTTTTTGGCAGATTAAGTCTTTTGTTTAGCAGGAGAGAATAATTCAGGGAAATAATGCAGCTTTTTGCTTGGTCATCAGCAGCTTACAATGACCTCCTTTATGATTATGCCACTGAGGCGATGCTCTACCTTGTCACTTGTGCTGCCACCAATTTTTTTGGTACATGTCTGATGGAGGCCTGTTGAATACAGAATATGAGTGTGAACTCCCTTTGGGTCTGGCTCTACCAGCTATTCTAAACTGAAACAGTGATCTATACTTGGAATTGAAGAATTCGTTAAACTTTAGCTGATTTATTTTTTTTACCCAATTGTTTGTTGTATGTTTCATGCTCTGCCAAAGGTGAACAAGTTTCTATATCCTGGCTTTTTTGGGATGAGGCTTGTCCTTGCTTAGAAGTTTACTTTATGTGCCTTGTGACCTCAGCTCTTTGATGAGCTTAAGAATAATTACCATTTTGTAGACTATGTAGCTTTTCTCAAGGTTAGGGAAGGAGAGTTGCTTTGCATCTTTTAACATCTTCAAGAAAAAGTAAGCTTTCAGCTAATGCTAGTACAATAGGAGGTGCGTAACAAACTTTTGAAACCGTGTTTTTACTAGTTCCCTAGCTCCCTCCTCAAGCTTGTACTTCTTTTCCGTTTTAATATCTTGCAGAAGCTATGAAACAACTGCTCAGATATCTAGTAAATACAGAGGAAGCCACTATGTTCTTGCATAGGCTATGGGCTTGGAAAGACACTGAGTTTGTAATTATTTAAAACTATTTCATTAAAAATTTTGAAATATAATGTTTTCTTTCTCTTCTAAACAGTATGGTAGATAGCCAGAGTATCAATCAAGTGATAAATTAGGAAAATGTTTAAAGATAACAGATGGGAAAAAAAGCAGGAAAGATAAATCCTGACTCTGACTCACTTAGATGCGGTAGAAGAATTTGGGAAATAAAATTTCATCAGATTAGGCAACTCTCACATTCCCTGTTATCACCTTGGAAATTGTTAGAGACAGGGGTGGTTTGGTAGATAGAATGTGTCTCCAACCACAAAATATAACAGCTTTGAAGAATAAGGCACCTAATATCCAGCTCTCCAAATTTGGTGATAAATATAAATGACATTTAGCCTTCTTAATAACATAAATAACACTCACAATCATGGAGCCAGATTTTCTGCTAGAAAATATAATTTTGGGCTTTACATAGATTTTGTTAACTATTTGCAACTAGACACCAATGACACTTGGCTTTTCCAGGTAATATGTTAGACATGAGAATCCTATGTGTGCCAAACTGTTTGAATTAGGTGCTTGGTTGTGAATCTCCCATCTAGATTATTTGGCATCTCCCCCACAATTTTCTTTTTATCTGTAATGAGAGATGCCAGTAAAATTTAAGTTCACCCTGCAAACAAAAATCTTAAATTGCAGCAGGAAGCTTGAGAGGGCT